GCATGAAAGTACTCTCATATAGTTTAACTTGGAAATATATAAAATTTAGCAGATGATTCACCCTTTATTTAGCGTATAAAATGCATTTTCTTTTTCTCTTTCCTCTTTAATTGTTCCATTCATAAATCATAATCATTTCGTGTCCTTTCTTTTCTAGTTACCCACGCAAAGTTTATGTGTCTCCAGGTCATATGAGAGCGGTTTGATAAATACCTGGCCTCACCGCTCGATATCACTATCACAAGAAAAATGTTTTATTTTGTAGTACTTGCTCGTTTCATGTACAGTGTCACTAATGTTACATATGGTACAATACGGCGACTTTTCTCCTTCGCTAGGCATTCCGAAGCGTTTGTACTCCCAGGTAAACGAAAAAGCGCATTTTCAGCCATATTGACATTTTTGTGAATTTTGCCGATTATCAAGCTCCTACTCACGCTATGCGAGCGATTAATGTTAAAGGGAACTTAACCGTCTATACAAATAAAACAATTTCAGCCCCTGGTACAGCCGGTTCGCTCACCGGTGACCGCCGAAGTTTGACATATGTATCTATCAAAGTGGATTTTTACCGATTGCTTTTACGATCCTGGTGACCCTAGGCTGGTAATTGACGATGCTAATGGATGGGCATAGCATCTACTAGGTGATCCAAAGCATTTGAACCATCTAGTGAACGCACTCCCCTTAGCAGATTTGTTGATAAAAAACGATCAGGGTGAACTTTAGAGGATTGTGGCATTGTCGGCTATTACAGCACTTTTGAACGCTGTCACCATGACTAAATTGATCGAATTAGACAGCAACCTCCTCTGCCTTATCCTGCTAATTCTCAAGATTTCGTCGCAGGCGTCTTCCTCGCCGCACAGATATATTTGAGTTTAATTTAGGTCGCCGTCACAGAAGCTACTTAGCAGACCTCCAGTAAATTGTCTGCCAGTTGGGGAAGTTGGGTTATGTGTATTAAACTAAAAGAAGACTGTAATAAGAAAAAATCCAAATTTTTCCAAAATTTTAGTTTTTCTTTAGTACACAAAATACTTATCGGACCGCTCTCGTAGTTTGAATTCCCATTGGCTTTACGCACTAAATTTAGTTACTTTTTAGGTATTCTTTGAGACTGTCCGCTCTGCAAATTCTATATTTGTGTAAAATTTTCATTCTATTGTTTTAACAGAATGTCGCCTAGGTACAGTATAAAGTTCTACACGCAAATAAGTATGCATGCAATTGTTTCCACAAACGTCAACATACATACATACATGTGTACATGCAAAGTTTCTGAAAGAAGTTTATTACCACTTTTTTGTCGTTTTTAAATATTTTTCTTATACATACTTATATACATATGAGTATGCATGTATTTGAGTGACATATTGCAAGCACATGCACGTGCTTATGACGCTAGCTATTTGTGTGTGCCTCCTATCAAAGAATGCTTCCTGCGTTGCTGGTTGTGAAAATATGATTTGTATGTGTCACCAACAGGTCAGAAATGCAAGATTACAAGAATATATCAAACCACCCAATTATTTGTTTTTCTTAAATAATTTAATTTTCAAAATGGATGAACCTAGGTTTATTGCACAATCAACACCTTAATCAAACACTAAACTAATCTTTAACGATATAATACGAGTACATTCAATAGTTAAGTATTAATTAGTATATTAAAGTGATATTTAATAGTGATAATACATATAAACATGTTTTTTTCGCTTCGTATTCTGAAAAATTGTTTGATAGACACCTCTAAGAAACGCTCTACAAGTATGAGCTCTTAATTGGAAGGTAAGGTCCTCCACCTAACGGTGGTATGCCATTTCGAGTATAAAAATTGTCAAAATCGGACCATAAACATTCAAGCCCCCATATACCGAATATGTGGATCCCAGTGCGTATGGCAATATGTTTCTTTGATAATAATATACTCTTGCGTTAAAAACAAAGATTTTCGAACTTGCAGTTGATTTTATATCACATATATCGGCTAATGTCGAAGACATTTTATTGAAATTGAGAGAGCGCATTTTTCTAATAACAGTGTAGCTTTGTGCCTAAAATGAATAAAATCGGCCGAAAACTTGCTCTATCTAATTGATATTCAGGGATTTTGAAATATCAAACTGACTTTACTCCATATATATGTTTATATTTTTAAAATTGCTTGAATATGAGTTCTTAAGTATACTTGTACCATGTCAAAAATTAATGCAATCAGCCCTTCCATTCCTCTGCCCCCAATATATCCTATACCTATAATGATTTCAGACTTTCCACCTGACTTTAAGCCGTTTAGGTTGGTCAAAATGTGTGATATTTTAATGAAATAAATTATATTAATGGTTTGGCGCTCAATATAAATGAAATTGGTCTTGCTCTAAACCTCACATCCCTAATATTATATAATAAATTCCGATCTTTTGGTTGACGTTCCTCCCATCAACTCAATATATTAAATTAAACCTCTTCTTTTGGATTTATATCATATTTTTCTCATTTTAGCATGATTTTAATATAATTTGCGTTGACGCGATTAAAATATGACCGTCAATAGAAGTTAATAAGATACCAAATTTGATTGTTATCCATTCACTATTTCGTCGAATAAGGAATGTTGAATTCTTCCGCAACATATTTTAATATAAAGGTGTGCTAACACTTATGAGTATTTCGCCGACTTTAAGCCTAGCAAGTTGCAATAGTATAAAATCTTCAGTTACGCCCAAACTTAGCCCTTCTTTACTTCTTATTATTAATAAACTTATACGTGTCAACTAATAACTAATAATATTAATTTCTGATTCAATGCTATTTTCTTTTACCGCACACTTTTGCTCTGACTTTATTCATTAATCTTCATTGTCCATCGCGAATAATGCTCTGACTGAGGAGCGGATATAGGAGGGAAATTGCGGATTTGTCGCTGATAAACCTTTTCCGCTAATTTTATTCAGCATCTGCATTTAAATTAGTTGTAAAAGTAACTAAGACAGAAACTTGATTAGAAAGCTGTGATTAGTTAAAAACTTTGTATGATAAAATCAAGTTGGCCAATTTCTTCTGTAACTAGTTACATTTTAATATATATGGATTGTTCCAATCTGCTGAAGATTGAATTAGATCACCAATTTGTTTAGCTTTAAGTAAACCGCCAAAATGGTGGCACGCAGCGAATTCATATGTGTATTTGCAGAAAGTAACCTTTTAACTCTTACGGCGATTTCAAAATAAATATTCAATAATGTAGTACTAGTTAAGTGAATTAAGTTATATAATCAACTTAATATATAGTACTTATATGGACATGTAGTTTTAACAATATTAAGATTGTGCAAATATAAATAAATTTATAAATGTTTCCAAATGTACCTCCACAGAAATAATCGCATCGTTTCATTAATGTGGCACCTCTCCAGATTTTCCATGCAAACGAAGAAGAAGCACACAAAATGAGTAGGAAAAATGGCGGCGAAATTGAAGCGACAAGCTACAAAATCATTATACCAAGCTCTTAGCTGACAACGACGGCGCACAAATTCAAAAATACTTTGAGTGGCAAATGAAGAAATAGAGTTGAAAAAAATTATTGCCTGAAAATTTTGTGGGAACACACACATTGTATAGAATTAATTAGTCGGTCGCACATAGGTGCGCCGTTGAAATAATATCACTTGAAAATATCCGTATGCAAATATTTTTTGGTGATCCAATTTAGCTGAATAAAAGAACAGGCTGATGCATAGGATGTAAACATTTTTTATTTGTTGTAAAAATATTAAACCGTAAGTGTTGAAAAGGTATCCAATTAATTTTGGCCAGATTGAATTAAAAGTGCATTAGGAGAAAGTAAAAAAGAGTAACGAGCAAGGAAGCAGTAAAGTAAAAGTTATATTGCGCAATGGCTACTTTTCAAATTCATCAAGATGCCGAGAAGGAAAATCCCCATATAGCTGCTCCACTAAAAGAGAAAAATTTAGTTTCCTGTAGCAACAGAGTGAATGCTCTACAGCCTTCTGGGTTTGGGGGTACCGCCGTCCCAATCAAAGGAAAGCTTGGTGATGGTGTTAGTCGCACTAATTTTGCTGTGCTGAATGCAAATACCAATGCGGCACATGGACGCAATATAACTGGTGTTACAGCAGGTAGCAAAGTAGTAAGTATTTTTACAAAACTGGTGTAGGAATATATTTCATGAAAATAATACGCATGCGTGGCAAATAATATTTTTTTTAATGTTTTTTTTTTGTTTTTATATCATTGTTTTATATTAGTGGTAAATTAATAGAGATAAGTATATATTTGTAACAGGACATGTAAAAAACCACTAAAATAACGGGTTTATACTAAAAACTCTTATCCAATACAAATATAGACATTTAATTGTATTATGTGAAAATTCAAATATTTTAACTTCATTGTTTTAGGCTTTTCGTGAAGTGGGGAATGCTAAAACGCAAAATGACAATAATTCAGTTTTTGCAGCTGCAGCTATTAAGAAAACTGTAGTAGAGCAGTTCAAATCATTTTCGGTTTATGAGGATCAAACAGATGAAAGCCAGCAGGCGTATCATCATTTCGCTGCCAGTAGTGCATCAATTTCTCTAGCTAACGGAAAGGAAAATATATATTTTGATCAACAAAATCATCCAAATAAAAATGAATATAAGCAGTAAGCGGTTGGTTAAGCTCACTTGGTATCTAGATTAATTATTTTTCAACTTTACAGTGATGGTTCACAGAAAGAAAATAAAGCATATGACGACTGCCTTTTGGATACCACCCCAATGTCAGTATCAGAGGTACTTTCACCAATGTCCGTAGATCGTTCCCAAGTGGGCATTGCTCAACAATCGGAATCGCAATTGATTGATGTTGACACTGACGAGAAAAAAATTACTGATATAACTACAGAGGAAGAGGAACAACAGCGGCGTCTCATTATTCCCCGTAATGATCGTCAACGCTTCTTTGAAGTGGTGGAATATCAAAGAAATATATTGGAATATTTCCATGAAAGTGAGGTATGTCCAAGAATTTACCAAAAAATAATCAAAAATTAATTCCAAAAAATAATCAAATATTGCATTAGCCCAATAAAACACTTATTCTACTACAAGTATTTCAAAATTGTCTCCACAACATGGTGCAATTATAGAGGATACTTTTGAAAATATATTTTCATAACCATATTTTTATAATTAAAAGAAGAAGTTAACTCAAAGGTCATTTCGAATACGAATTGATTAGCCCAAATACATACTTTTCAAATGTATTGTCTGTTTTCCCGCCACATGAGTTTTTCACCCCTAGCACATTAACTGAACATAAGGGATGATTTGCTCAGCTGCTGCCATTTGTGTATTTTTAGTAGAAATAATTTTCAACCATTGTCCGTATTTCGTTGAAAGTAAGCAAATTGTAATAACATGGCCATCTCTACATTTCTCTAAAGGCTAAATATAGTTTATAGGAAATAATTTATTGGATTGAATGTTGTTGTTATTGTTTTTGTTTCAGACAATCATATATCATCTTAAAATTTGATTTATTATTATTATTAGTTTTCCGATATAATAATTATAAAATACATCGTAACGATATAATTTCTTTTCAACGTGAAGTTTTGTTGAACTGGTCGTAAAACTCTTTAGATACATAATTTTTGTTTAAATCCTTATTCGACATCTCGTTTTGCTTTCTTTGCTCCACTGCAAGCCGCGCATTGTATCGTATGTGATCGTCCAGTAGTTGTTTTTGATTTCTTTCCAACTCCAACTGCTTTAACATCAATTCTCGATCCATATTTAGAGCATACTGTTCCCACTGTTTGTCCATAAGCTGTTGATCAGTTTGCTTTTTTTTGTTGGTAATTTTTTGTTGTAACTGTTCCTCATGGAATTTAGCCAGCTCATCAGCAGACATACCTCGGTACATAAAAGCGATTTTTTTTGTTGGATCTGTCCTTGACTGTGCTGCATCCGGATTTTCAGTTAACATATCACTAGTGAGCATATTATAGATTTCAGCTAAATCGTCTTCGTTTTTCTCTTTTTTTTCACGAACACGCTCGAATCTCTTAGATTTTGCTAATTGCGTATTAAAATCGTAAATAGCTGCTGTCATTTGATTACGTATTTTCCGCTCTGCATTTGCCATATCTTCAAGACGTTTATCCCGAGATGCTATTGATTCCTGCATTATTAAATCGGCCTTGATGCGATCTTCTTCAGCTTGTTTACGTTCTTGAACTTGTTGATCTAACCATGCACGCTGCTGAGCACGCTGACGCAATTTTCGCTCACTATGGCCCAGATCTTCACCCGAGAAAATTTGTGCACTAGAAATTCCAAGGCGTACATCGTCGTCGGCCACGCGTGCCGGCAAAGCACTTTTGATCCTATTTGGATCGTTTAAATCAAATTCACGGCGCTGATCTTTACGCTGAAAACGGCAACGGTAATAATTGAGATCTGCTTCGGCAACACGTTTTCGTTTATCCATCTCTAGTGATTTTGCATAAATTGCGAGCTGCTGGCGCTGGGTCTGGTCTTCATAACGCCGTTCGCATTCAGACTCAACCTGCCTTTGCTTGTTTTTCTCGGCAATTTGTCGTTCCAGTGCGCCCAAATCCAACTAAAAACAAACAAAAAAAAGAATTAGGAATGGAGAGCAAATAAAAACCGTGAAAACCGTACGCCGAAGAGTCTCTGTTTAGCATTGAAGATTCTGTTTTTTCGTTCATCTTCAAATTGTAAACGCCTTTGCAGTTTTGCGGCCTCATTTATATCATCCTTAGTGGCAATCGGAACCTTAAACATGTAGAGTTTATCCTTTGAATAGCGAAGTTACAAAGATTTATAAAATAATTTATCAAAAATATTATATTTGTTAAGATATACACAGAAGTAAAGAATGAAGTATCTATTATCATTTATTTGTTGAAAAGTTCACTAGCTACTGACTGAGTATACATATTTTTTTTTTAAAGTAAAAAGTAATAAACTAAGGTTTGTTTGTTGGTAGCTGGGCAACACGTCATGATGTGTATCTACAAATGATTGAAAAGTGAATCCTTGACAAGTTATGCGCTCGCCATATCAAAAAAAAAAAGAAAATAAACTCGTAAAAACATGAAGCAGAATTTTTAAGCATTACTTTTAATATCTACTGAGTTAATATAATTCATATATAAAACTTTACAGAAAAAACATAGACCCAAGCCGCACTACATGCGCCGCCAGGCCGACATTAATCATTCAATGCGCACGATTCTCGTCGATTGGTTGGTTGAAGTGTCTGAAGAGTACAATTTGGACACAGAAACTCTATATCTTTCCGTTTCTTATATTGATCGATTTCTCAGTCAAATGTCTGTGGTACGCAGTAAACTGCAATTGGTCGGAACCGCAGCCATGTACATTGCATCGTAAGTTTGAAAGTAAAACGTATTTTTTAAAACCTACATTTGCCCATATTCATAGATAGCTAAATCTTATTTAAGTAACTACATATATTATTTTATTTATATTAACCAAAATATATAGAAAGTATGAAGAAATCTACCCTCCAGATGTTGGTGAATTTGTGTTCATTACCGATGATACCTACAACAAAGCACAAGTTTTGCGAATGGAACAGATTATTTTGAAAATTTTAGCGTTTGACTTATGCACGCCAACTGCATATGTGTTTATCAACACTTATGCTGTATTGTTAAACATGACAGATAAGCTAAAATTTCTAACTCAGGTTAGGGAAATATTTTCAACAAAATACGACAAAATATTTTTAATTTATATTTGCAGTATATTTGTGAGTTATCACTTTTGGAAGCTGATCCGTATTTACGCTTTCTACCATCATTAATATCTGCTGCTGCTCATGCACTAGCTAGGCACCTATTGGACTATACAATTTGGAATTCAGAATTAGAAGAGATAACAACATATAAATTAGAAGACCTCAAAGAGATAATATTACACCTCTCTAAATCACACAAAGCGGCCACTAAACTTGCGCAGCAGGCCATACAGGAAAAATACAGGGCAGATAAGTGAGTATAGTAGATGAAGAAAAGTTTAGAAAGTAATATACATTTTGAAAAAATATTACAATTTATTTAAGGTATAAAAAAGTTTCAAGTATCAAACCTGTTGAACTGGACGATGAAGCATTCGAACTTCTAATACGTAAAAATATTGGTTTGTTTAGCAACGCAGAAACACTTGGAAAGATATCAACGAATACAAGTAATGAACATGTACAACGAACGATTTCTCTAATGTTCAACTGATATGTATTATAGATGACACATTCGAGTGCTTACGTTATGAATTAGTGTTAATTGAAAAACGCTTAATATTTGCTCGTATTTTATTTGTTCCCCGTTTTGATTTTTGTACAGAGGCTTGGCTATTTTTTTTTTCATCAAGCAACCGTTTAGCACGGTTACTTAAAAAATTACAAAAAAATAGATATTATTATATTTTTAAAAACATACAGATTTGTTAAAAATGCAGAATTTTTCCGAAACGGAAATTATAAATACTCTGTTATAATACTGTACAAGTTAAAAACACACGATCTGTACATTATTTTTTTAATTAAAAGTAATTTAGGTCAACTTTCAATTTATTTTATGGGTTATCATTTTACTAAAATCAATCGCGGTTGCTTGTATATTATAGTAATACCAATTTAAGTGCATTTGTCTAAAAATAAACGAGATCCCTTATTTTTATTTTTTCAGTAGTTTTGTATTTTTAGTTGTTATTTGTCCTTTTAAATTGTTTTATTCCCTACACTACAGAATATATCGATGTTAACCAAATTTAATCCACAGAAATACGTTGTATCGAAATTATATAAGTAGAAAAGATAATTTGTCACAAAAATAATATAATATATATATAGAGTATTGCGAAATTCAAATATTATTTAATAAAAAACACAACATTAATAATAAAATATTCACACTAGATGTACGGTCTAGTAAAAAGAAATATATTATTTACACTAAATTGATTCGATTTAGGTGAAATATTTACCGTTTTGTTGAAAACTTGTTAGTATTTTGAAGGTAATTTTATTACGCCACAAAACATTCCTGAAGTAATTTCAAGGAATGTTGCCGAGTTGACAGTCTTTGGCCGGATAAAAATCCGGCTTTGTTCCGCTTACGTAGATCCGACTGTTGTGGAAACGGTTATAGAAGCTCTCGTCCCTATTGGCAAAAAAACTGGCACCTACGATTTCCATAAGCTTTCCTTGAGGCGACTTTTTCAGCAGCCCATAGGCAAGAACAGAGAGTAATCACTTGGTGCGAGGTGCGAACTATATGGTGGCTGCATATGTACATCCCAACCAAGCTCTCTCCGGCTTCCCGCGATTCGACCATCATAATTTTGACCTGGCGTTGTCATCACCAGTAACCATCCGCATCCGAAAATAAATACTATTCATATTTGCAGCTACGTGGTTTGCGATTTCGCCTTTATCGAAGAAAACTGTAAAATATGGCATATTTTCTCTTTGCTGGTGTTCACCTTTGACGCGTGTTATAAAAATTCTGAGTCAAGCAATTATAAAAATGTCCGGGTTTTTTTTTTTTTGTATAAATCTTAGCTTTCAAAATAATGGATTTCTTTTTACTAGACCCAATATTTATTTTAAATTATTAGTTTAATTTAAGTTGAATTTTAGTGCGAGTTCACTTTTTTGGTAGACATAGGATTGAGACAGATATTCGTCGAAACTATTTTAACTGTATTTAAATTGGTGGATTCAGTATTTCAATGTAATACACTTAACTTCAATTTTGTCTCTGTATTAATTTATATTTTTTTAATATGAAATAATGTAGTATTAGATAATCCAACTGCACTAATGCATATTTACCAAGTAATGTGAGTTATTATTTAAAATATCTATATTTAAAATTTTCATAAAATAATTAAAATATACATTTAAAGAAATAAATGAAACATACCGACAATTTATTAATTATAGTCAGCGCTAATACAATACGAGTAGTAAGCAACTAGACGAAAGTTATAATCAGGTAAATCAAATCCTTGTTACTTGTCATTCATGAGTATGTAGAATTCTTTTGGTAAGCGAAGTTATGACAATTTTTAGGCGTTACAGATATACAAAAGTTTATTAAAGTGGAAACGAAAAAAAAGTAAATAAATAAAACATTTATTGGAAATCTGAACAAGAATTTTTTCGATGAGCACTAAATGCAGCTGTGGGAGATTTAGAGATTGTTAATTATAGCATACCATATTTCGTAAGCCTTTTCATATGTACCAATAATTTACAAAAAGTTCTAAGTACTGTCCTATTTTAATTTTTGAAAACTTTGCAATGTAGACTAGTATTTTAGTGCAAAAGTATGGATTTCTAATTTTTGTTTTATAATTTTTATTTAATAATATTTTTATAATTATTTTTGTTTTTAATATATTTTTTTTTAATTTTTTTTTTAATACTTTTTTTTTAATTAAAAAAAAAAAAGTTGTTTTTGATTTAAAAAAAAACATTTTTTTTAATCATTTTTTTTTTTTGCTTTTTACTTATTCAAATTTTAATACATAGAAAAGTTTTACAAAAATAGTAATCAATTTATTTGTTGAATGTATTAGCAAATAACTCCGATTTTTTTGACCTTCATTCATTTCATGCATATGTAACGCTCTTGCGATTACATAAAATAATTTGAATTTCCCTCGAAAGCAAATAAACAAACATAATTGAAACCGTAACCACCGGATACGGCTTTTTAATTTATTAAGGAAGTTTACAAAGAGTGTGACAGTTGATTTGCAAGATGTCTGATGCATGAAGCGTGCTAATAGAGTGGCTCAACCCACTACACAACTAGCATCGGAGCTGATGGAGTTAGTTGTTGTTGTAACGGTTATCTAGTCCCCGCTTGGATGATAAGTAATAGTTTGGTTGTCGTCGAGGTTATCTAACGGGATGCCCAAGAAACAAGCTGTTTTGACGGGGTCGGACCATAGGGTAAAGGGTGTTAGATGAGTTGGGTTTGTTGGGCATGCACAGCCTCATTGAACGCAGAACATATGTATGGAATGTTGGGGTCTATACTGGATAAGTAGGAGTTTAACCTGCTACAATATCCAGAACGAAGTTCCGCGAGTATCACTCTGGTTTTGCGAGACAACTCGAGCTCTACGTCTGCTATGGGTGGTGGTTTGACTCCTAGTATGCCATTCACTGAGAGGGAGTCGATGAAGGTGTTAATGGCGGTTAGTGCTTGTTTATAGTTCGTTGCGTCCGAAGTCCGGTCGGCGTACTGTCTGATGTCGTCGACGTAATCTAGGAATGACCTCCTGATGCTGTTAGTGTTATGTCGTGCTACTCCAGATATTTCTTGGCATTCACAGGCATTCGGGTGTATGTAACCCGGCACGGACCCGAACTTTTATTCGGCCAAGGACTGTCAACTCGACAGCATTTTTCAAAATTATTTCATGAATGTTTTTGCTGCTAAAACATGTATGGTGGGGTTACGCAAACTTCTCAATGGACATGTATTTGTTGCAAATAACTTACCTATTGACTGCCAATGCATTATTTTCGCAAAACTATTACTAGATTTATAAGAAACGAGAGCTTTGTTGGAAAAAACTAAAATTTATTATTTTTTTAATCTATGATATTCTTTACAATTCAACAAGTTTTTATAATGCTTTGATAGTCCATTACGTGAATGAGTCTGCAATTTGACTATATATTTAACCAACAGCATTCATAACAAGCTAATTAACATTCGATTGCCTCTGCACATTTATAATTATAAAGCACTTTAAAGAAAGTGCTTATAATATTTAGAAATATGGACGACTCTATAATAAAATTATTTTTGTTAATGCATTTTTAATATGCGAATCTGGTATCTGGGTGAAATTCCAATATATCTAAAGCTGGATTACAAGCGAAATTGATCATCGGTGGTGGACCGCACATTAACACCAGAGTATCTGCTGAAGCTGGGAAAAGATGTTGTTTAATCATGCCATCGTTTATAAAGCCTACATCATATATCCAGCCTGTGTAATAAATAAAGATTTAATATTAACTACCTCTATAACTGTTAATTTTATTTATTTATGTATTTAAATTGTTAATTAATTAGTTTTATACCTGATTAAAGTTTAACTATATATTTTTTACGTTATACGTGTATCCATTTAGTAACTAAAACGCATATCAGCATGATGACCGATGCGCTCCAAGCCGGGTATACAAGTATAATTGACCATCGGTGGCGGACCACACAGTAAGCAAAGCGTGTTTGAACTCGGCGAAAAAAGTTGAGAGCGCATCATTTCATCATTGACATACCCAACGCTATATGGCCAGACTGATATAAAAATTATCCAAAAGCAGCATTTAAAAAGAAAATTAAATATTGCTTCAGATATTGATCGAAAACTCAAAGGAAGCACACAATAAACACTAAATATTTTCAATACTTTCATCTGATATAGCGAATATGGTTAAAAGTGTGCAGTAAATTTTAACAACGAATGCCTTTTCATTATATTATATATTTACGTTGTTTCTGATTTTCTTAAATAATGTATTCACGAACAAAGCCGCACGTATGAGTAAAGCAACAGCGGGTAGAGAACCCGGGAGAAGTTTTGACACAAAGATGTTTTCCTCAGTTAATATTTATAAAAGCGACTTAAAAATGTGTGAATCTATTAGTATACTATACATAAATATACATTTCATAAGTTTTTCATGCAACAAAGCCACAAGCTATTGTTAGTTTAAGGTACAAGGTTTGCTTTTTATAAAAAATCAAATCGTTGTATTTATAACTAATATGTATATAAAAGTATTTATATTTACCTTCAGTAGCTTTATCAACCGTATACCACACCTTTAATTGATCTGGATATTTTTTGGCTAAATCGTCCAATTCGTTACGCAACAAAATATCGGCTTCACTCTGAACAACAGAAAAAATAGTCACAATTCCAGATTTATATTCATATGAATTACTTTATTTGTCTTACCTGATTGGCAAATAATAAGGCAAGTTGAGTTTTGTCTTTATCATTGTGCTTTAGAACATCCCGTATTAGCTGTAACATTGGTGTAATTCCAGTGCCACCGGATATCATGTTTACACGCTTTGCTATAACGGTCTTTGGTGGATCTTTACGAAGCTTCTTAACTTGAAAACGGCCTTGACCTTGATATTGTAATCGTCCGGAAGGACCACGGAAGGATATTTTATCGCCAATATTCATTTGATCTAAATATTGTGTCATTTTACCACCTCCTGGGAATTTTGGATGAACATTCTTAAAATATACTTTAATGACCAAATCGACATAACCAACGTCATCATCACTGGATATTGGAGTATAAGGACGAATGACTAATTCGTTATCTATAGTGGCGATCAAATGTATATGCTGTCCAACTGGCAATCCGAGAACATGTTGGTTCGATGGCAAACCAAATCGAAAACGTCGAGTATCATGGCTAAGAACTTCTTTCACAATTAATGGCAACTGATATTTGTCATTTGGATCAACTAGCGTGCGCAGACGAGCGGTGCGATTGGGTTCAGGTCGTGGTTTCGACGACTTCTTATTAAGAATGTAATTAATGATAGCAGCACCAACCACCACGGCTGCAATACCAACTACAATTGGAACTAACTATTTAAAAAAAAAAATTTCGAATTAGTAAAACAATTATCAATAATTGATATATACATAATTACATTGAAAAAAAAGTCATGAAATAATTAATACAATTTTATGAAATGAATGAAAAATTATTAAAGATATAAAGTACACAAATATATGTATATAAAGGTTATTTCAATGTGCAATGTGAGGTGAGTCTATAATGTCCAAAGTGTTTGTTACTTATCTTGATATTTGTACGTTATCACTTTGAGAAGCTAAGCGAACAATTTTTTCCGCAATAACTTTATAAAGTGTAAAAATTAATTACTATAACACAGAATTACTTTGTCATTTACATAATTACAAAACACATTTAATAATACAATTTTTATAAAGAAGTTTTTTAACTACGCAAGAAAACTAATATAAATTAGTGTAGTATATTTAGGTATGTATATTTATGTACATATACATGGAATATAAATCAAAATATCAAAAAAAAAATCTCAGAACGTGACTCTCACATGTGCGTTAACTTTCTGAATTAATACAACTATTTTTTGTTTGAATAAGTAAATATTATGCTTACGTCTAAGTCAGCCATTTTTGTGATTTTAATCGCGCGAACATAAATGATATACCGATCAACTTTAACACACCAATTCACTACGCTTCTATCAAATATAACCGCGTTTAATTTGAAATGTGCTTTTTCGTCTGATTGCTTGCATTTGACTATTTGAACGTGATTGCATGAGCGGGCTATAAACATACAGCTCGTCTACAGCAGCTTTTAGCTTTGCCGGCTCTCACTCCACTAAGGTTACCGGAACAACTACAGCTATTAATTAATATAGAGATACAGATATTGCTTACATACAGTTATGCATATGCACACATACATATGTACTACATATAAAAATAATTGCTCAATATTGACCCACATCAATGATGAGTTTTGCTTTTTTCAGCAGAGTTAATACATAATTAAAATAAAAATTGAGAGAAAATATGAGTATCATACAATGTTCTCTTAAATTATGAATATGTATTTAAAACAATAACGTACATATGTATTTGTTTGAGTTAATAATGCCCCTTATACGCATGAATATTAGTCTAAAGTTGGAGTCCTATACCTACTTTTCTAAAGTCAGGAAGGCGGTTCTTTTTCCAGTCGACTATTTTCGCCTATCAGCAGTTTAACAGTCATATTTCGGTTTTGTAGATAGTCTGGACATATATTGATTCTTATACATGAACAACAGGTCTTTATCTGGGACGATGGAATTAATATTTCATATTATCAGCCGAACTTAAACTATTAAAGACCATCTTCAACGTACTGATTAGACTTTATTATCAGTATTGTATTAGACTTAGAAAATCTAAAGAAGGATTTTTTTAATGTTCTCAAATTTGTATTGCATTACTATTTTTACAAATACATCTAGTAATTTTATATTTTTTCATTTTACAAATTTTGTAAATACATGCATGAAAGCATTTTCGCTCTTTTATGTACATAAATTCTTAGATAGTTTAGCATATGTATATGCATACATTCGTAAGATATGTATAGATTAGTAAGTTAAAATGTAGTCACTTACATGCGTTTCGTATATCGGACGTGCCATTGTTAGAATATAATTATTAAAAGTTGTTTTTTAAATATATATATGTATATATACACGTCATCCACTTAGTCGCTATCAAGTCGTAACTACGACGCCTGAGAGGCACTGCTGATTTAATTTATACAAATAATTATATTAATATATGGATGATATATAAAAAAAATGTTTACCTAAGTATCTTTTACAATTTCGTTATTTGTGTGTTATATTCCTTCGCGCCTTCTAATTTTTGCCGTAACAAGCACTTTCCATTTGAGTGTATTGAGTATTGTACTGAAAGAGAAATACGTAGAGTTATTAATAATTAAATTTTGTACAAAATTTACGTCACGATTTAATGGTTTCTGGAATGAAATTGACAGTTGGAATTAGCTGCTTGATATTTCTAATGCAATATTGATTTTGCAACACAATTTGATTATAGAACCAAAACGAAGAATTTATTTCGTAATGATGTGGGAGGTTGGAAGATATCTGAGGAATATATGCTGCTTATTATTTTCAGTTGCTGCCTTATTATACATGTATGTATGTAGATGTATATCTGGCACGAAATATGACTTTTTAAACAACAACAAAATTATGTGTATAATGTATAAATATAACCTTGCTGGTTCAATTCTTTGATTACGTATTGAGTACTGTTAATTTTTTGTATTGTGACATTTGTTGGATTAATAGCTCCCTTGAATTCTTCACATATCTCCAAAAATCTTTAATAACATTGTGATAACGTCCAATGATAATTTGCATTGGCTACCGTTAACAAAAACACATCGAGCTAATGACTTGGAATGTATTTGTATAACGTATGTTTGCCCATTATATAAATTTTTATATTTTCCTCTTGCATTTATTAATTGGAATGAGGAATGATGGGATAGAAAATTACCCAATCATTCTTTTATTTCATATTTAAAATCTTTAGTACTTACAATTTCTAGGGCCGTTCGCCGGTATATGCACATTTATAAATTAGAGATTTGGTCACAACCCCTTGCATTGTTTTCACTGCTGGTAAATTTTTAAAAACATTGTATTATACTATCGCCACAGTCAAGAAAATTTTATATATATATTAAAAAATACTGTTAGGGCATTGGACTTTTTAAGATAATTATAAATCTGGGAGTTGGATAAATTATTTCTATTCGTTTAACTTTTGTTCCGTTTGTTTTCATAATTTTCCATTTTTTCCTTCTTCCATTAGGTGAAGATATACTAAAGGAACTTTTCGTGCTACGAAGCCGTATAACAGTTGTGGCTCCCACCATCTTGACTTTGGATATTGCGTTATCCTATTCGAAAGATCTCAAAAGGCTTAAGCGTATTTATATTGTAAAAAGATGTATTAATTAGGTTCCATGATAAAGTATTGATGCCAGGTAAAGACACATAAATAAAATACTAATTATGTTTTAATAAAAAATAGCACTGCTTTAAGGTAAAGACAGATGGCGCTAAGAGTTACAAGCTGTTGGTAATAGTGTTTCAGTCAATGAACGTCAATTGGAAGGGATATAACAAATTTAGGTAGCAATCGTTCTTTCTCACATTGTTCGTCGTAAGGTGCAGACATGGCGTAAGTAGCAATACTGATTGGGATGTGGACTTTTTTAATTGTATAATTTTAATCTTTGAAATAATCTAAAATACCTGCAACCCAAAACCAGCTTCTTGGTTTATTGATAATCGATTGGAGTTTGGAAATGGTTGCTATAGTAATGGTAAAATTTTTGGGCTAATTCTAGAAGTTATTCTCGTTTAGAATATATCCTTAAATTTCAAACAATTAAAATTAAGCATTTATGCGAAAGATCTGAACTATTTTGAGACTTTTTGGACTTATATGTTTTTTTTTTTTCACAGGTCAAAAGTGTCTCGTGATACACTCTATGAGTCTGTTAACGCAGTTTTGGAATTCTCCGAAAAGAAGAAACGTGGATTTTTAGAGACATGTGAATTACAAATTGGTCTTAAAAACTACGATCCTCAAAAGGATAAGCGTTTCTCCGGCACTGTCAAGTACGTGGGTATCACCTGAGTTGATTTGCGATATATGATTATGCAAAACAATGCATTACAAGAGATGCTTACAACTCAGGTAGTCAAGGGATATAAACTTATCTCTTGGCGGACCCGCACTCAGGGTCTTAAAATCAAATTGAGTAGGTCTTTTGACCGTATTTAGATTTAAGATAGATAAAACGAACAAATGTGTAAGTTTAGGTTAAGTAATTACTATACACTGTTCGATGTGATGTTAAAAAATATTTTGCATGTATTACCTGAAAACCATAAGAGCCTTATGGTTTTTTGTGGATAGAAATAACTGATCATTATTGAACATGAATTTGTACTTGATATAAATATGCATACATCTCAAAATAATCTTTCTCTTATTTGACAGATTGAAGCATATCCCACGTCCCAAGATGAAGGTGTGCGTTCTCGGTGATCAACAGCATTGTGATGAAGCTAAAGCTAATGGAGTGGAGTGCATGGATGCAGAGGCTTTGAAAAAATTAAACAAGAACAAAAAATTAGTGAAGAAGCTAGCAAAGTCCTACGATGCATTTCTGGCTTCCGAATCATTGATTAAGCAAATTCCTCGTTTGTTAGGTCCAGGTTTGAATAAGGCCGGTAAATTCCCTGGTCTGTTGTCGCATACAGAGTCAATGATGGCCAAAATTGAAGAAGTGAAATCAACCATCAAGTTCCAAATGAAAAAAGTACTGTGCCTATCCGTCGCTGTTGGTCATGTGGACATGAAACCCGATGAACTAGTGCAGAATATTCATTTGTCAATAAATTTTTTGGTTTCACTTTTGAAGAAAAATTGGCAAAATGTGCGTTCGCTGCACATCAAGTCGTCTATGGGACCACCACAACGTTTGTACTAATGAAAAACATATTTTGTACGCCATATACCTTATCCAAAGAAATATGGAAATAAATGTGTAATGTTTTAAAAGATATGGGTGTGTTGCTTAATCATAGGGTTGGGCCGTGGTTTTTGTGTTGAATTCCTGAATCAATCGCATAAGCCCAAAAACGTTTTCCATTATACGGAAATTATATCTGCAATGAGATATTGAAGCCAACTGTCTTTTGTGTTATTAAGTAACGACGTATATACTAAAACATTCAATTTTTATATTACGTACTGCATTTATTTTTCGTACTAACCCGGTTTATACCTTGTGGAAACACTGTTGGTTGATTTTACTTATAAGATTGACAGATACATAATTTTCTCAGTTTAAGTATACTTTTGTGTTTCATCATTAATTTTTAATTGAATGTCACTTAAATTAGATATTGGAAGGAGTTCGTAAAAGTTTGTTTCTAATTCCAGTAGATGTTGCATAAAAGAAGAGCGCAGTAATGACTGTCGCCGTTGCATCCTTTGTTGATATCTACGACGATTAATAAGAACTGTTCGCTTGAAAGCCATCAGAAGATTTTTACAATTTTCCAAAAGCTTGCGTCGCGTTCTTAAATTTTTTTCATGAGCAAATTTAATTGCCAGTGCTTGAAATTGAAAAGACAAAGGTGAAGCAGTATTTTCTGAAAATCCTTCATAAATCATGTCCCCTGAAAGCATTTTTGGATTTACACAAATTTAGTATTCCTTTGAAATATTATTAAATTACCTTCATTGTCCATTATTTTTCAATATAATCGCAACACTAGTTTACCCGGTAACTAGGTAAATAATTATCATAAAGGCATAGATTGTAGTTACAACGATAATAATATACAGCAGGAGATATTGTGCAAATGATTTTTGTGTTTTCCACTAGACTGTGTCCAGACATGGAAACTTTTGCTCAGGATAAATAGACTTCAATCAAAGCGAATTAACTTTCATTTCAATGTTTCAAAGACGGCGTTCACATGGCGAATCTTTGGTCGCTCATTACCGGCAAATTTTCGTTTGGTGTCGCTCTGTACGATCCCACGAGCGGAAAGAGGCAAGCAGTTCGCGTCGAATTTTTTTCTGTCATCCTTTTCACAAAATTTTCGCAAATGTTTGTGCGGTTCGGCTACGCGACAGAGAGCGTATTGAATATTTACTATGTATGCTGGGATGGTGGTTGTTGTTGTTGTTGTAACGGTTACCTAGTCCCCGTTTGGGTGATAAATTCCAGATTCGTTGTCGTCGAGGTCATCTAACGGGAGGCCCAGGAAACGAGAGTGGGGTTTGTTGGGCATGCAAAGAGGTGGTTAGTGTCATGCGGAGACTCATTGCACGCAGGACATGTGTTTGGTATGTCGGGGTCTATTCTGGATAAGAAGAAGTTTAACCTGCTACAGTATCCAGAACGAAGTTGCGCGAGGGTCACTCTGGTTTCGCGAGGCAACTCGAGCTCTACGTCTGCTATGGGTGGTGGATTGACTCCTATTACGCCATTCACTGAGAGGGAGTCTGTGAAGGTGTTGATGGCTCCACTGTGAATGGCGGTCAGTGCCTGTCTGAAGTTCGTTGCGTCCAAAGTCCGGTCGGCGTACTGTCTAATGTCGTCGACGTAATCAAGGAGCTGGGATGGTGGTCTCACATTTTTCTTGGAAGAGATTACTATGAATGTGATAGAACAATATTTAGAATACTCGCTATTAAGATTTTCAAGGAAAAACATATGACGGAAATTTACCAAACCATCAGAAGGTACATATTAAATATCCGCTATTAATATTTTCAAGGCCATATTTAAGACGAGAATTTCCCAATCTATCGGAAAGTATATACTCGATTTTAACCCCTTTTATTTTCTCTTTATTACAAAACATTACAAAAGTAAAAGTAACTCCATTATTATTAAAATACAAAATAATGCAATTATATATATTATTATTACGTTTAATAAAACCGGTTTGCGCGACAAAAGAGTTTGTGTGTGAACTGGCACAAACATAGAGCTGAATATAAGGAACGCATATCTTTATTTTTACGTTAATTTAGGGTTGTATTTTTACATTTTATGCAGTGTTTCTAAGCTTAAGTGAATCTTGACTGTGCTATAACTATTGTGAATTGTGTTTACGAAATATGAGGAAATATACTTAAGACCAAGTATGATTCTTATTCTTAGTTGAAATAAAGAATCTTAAACTAGATAATGTATATTACGCCGTGCCTCAAACAACATTCAACTTATTGTACTTATATACATATGTTATATACAGTGCCTTTCAAACAGAGAACGTTGAATTTATATTAGACTGTCATCTAAACGTGTATTTTAACATATAATCGTAGAGAGCAAAATCAGAGAACGTACGTTCTCTGGTAATATGTCAAATTTTGTGCTTTCGCTGCAATTAAGGAGACTTTTGACACAACCATATGTACATATCTGATATATATACGCATTCATCTTGAAAAAAAAATTTCGCACTTATCATTTTGGATGGTAATTTTTATTGCTCAGTGTCTATAACTTAGTGTAAAAAGTGAAAAGTGCAAAAAAACAGTGTTTAGAATTTAATCTTGGAAGAATTTTGTTATTTTTTGGTTGTGTGTAATACATTATTGCGTTGCCTTTTATAATAGGAACGTACAAACGTTGAGAAAACATATAGCACATGATATGTCAATGAGTGTAATAAACGAAAATTTAATCTTGAAGTAATTTGATTTTATTCTCAATCCAAATACGTTTTGTGTCGAGAAAAGTGTTATAAGAATATAGACTATGATTTGCAACCAAAATATCGCAGAAAAGTTCGATTTTACATTTCCCGTATATTCGTGAATGATTAAATAAAACTCAATATTGAGATATCAGATGCGAAAGATAACATACAGTAAACAATAGAATAGGCCAATGAAAAATTGATTTTCCAATATAAATGTAACTACAATATTGCTATTATATGAACAGCTATTGAAATCATTTCATTCATTTTTAGTGTTGAATAAGTGAAACGTCCATTTTGACGGATTATAAACATATACTAGTATATTTTTTTTTACAATTAATGACATATATACATATTAAATATCAATTGTTTTCGTAACGATTGCAAACAAATGTACTAGGAGTAAATAAGATTATAGTACAATCATTCCATTTCGCTGCAACGCAATGAATATTGTCGGAGAATATGAATATAGTTCGAAGGATATGCTTGGCCATGGCGCTTTTGCCGTGGTATATAAAGGACGTCATCGCAAGGTATGTACAATATTTTTCTTGGCTTTGATCAGCAATATTTAACTATGTAAGTGGCCGAACATTTTATAATAAATGCATATAAAACAAAAACTGATGGAATCTGGTGAATTTACAGAATTTACTTCTTAACAATAATTTGAAGGATATGTATTATTTTATTCAAAATATGTACATATATCTGTAAATATGCAGAAATATTTGTATATACCATCGAGTTTATGCTTTTGTATTAAGCACTTATACTTATTTCAAAATGCTTACTAATATACATACCTACAAGTATGTATGTATTTTTTACATGTGTTGAACTTCACTCCAAAGTTTTAAAAGGCAGAAGATACTCTAACTTCGTAAATATACATACACTTATTTTTAAAGAAATATATATGTATGTACATATTGTACATATATTCTCTCATGCTGTAATAAAAGTGGGTAATAATAATTGTTTTATATAAAGGAAAAAAAATGTTTCTGAGATGAATACATATTGAATTGAAATGAAGATTTACGGTGAATGATCATCAATCGAGATGGTACGGTGTTGTAGAGGTGTGCACTACCACTGCCCAAGATCTGACTTTGATTCCTCTTCTTACGAACATCTAAATTATTTCCTAACATCGTCTGCTAATCTGGGTACTGAGACACAAAGGCATATGTACAAAGTGGGTTTAGCCTCTGCAACGAATTGTTGTTTCAGCTATATAGGGCGTACATACTTGTTTCTGGAATGCGTAGCACTCCACAGGAGTAGGATTTACATATCCGGCTCAAGCACGAGGCTTATCACGGTGCTGGGGCTAAATGAGTCTTTGTGAAAAAGGAGGCCACAAAGGTCAGAGGTCGCACTACACACCTTGATTAATTTCTAATTCTAAATTTATGAAAGATGAATATTTTTATACTTACTTTAATTAAATTACTTGTGTTTTTTTCAGAAACATTTTCCAGTGGCTATAAAATGTATAACTAAAAAGGGATTGATTAAAACTCAAAATTTACTTGGAAAAGAAATAAAAATCTTGAAAGAATTAACAGAGTTGCATCATGAGAATGTCGTTGCGTTGTTGGACTGTAAAGAATCACAAGACTGCGTCAACTTGGTCATGGAGGTAAGTTTTTAATGTATATTCAGAAATTGAGTTTTTACTTTTAGCAAAGATGAAAATTCTTTAATATTCAATTATGGAAGATTTTCGTATATAGTCTCATAGCTCATACTAAATGCAATGACTTAGCATATTTTCCGTTTCCACGAAAGTCGGGTCTACCTAACCGGAACAGACTTGGATTTTTATCCAGCCAAGGACTCTCAACTCGATAGAATTCTGCCGCCACAACAACAACAAGTTATTATACTTAATTCTAACGGTTACTTCATACAACTAACACCGATCGTCAAATTAATTATGAGGGTGGTTGGGTAGACGAAGAGCTCGTGTTTAAGCGAGATTCTAGAGTGGCCCTTGCCAATGTCGGTCTGGATATTGTAGCAGTTTAAACTCCTACCTATCTAGAGTTGACCCTGTCGTACCAAATAAAAGTCCTCAGTGCAATGAGTCCCCGCATGACTCTAACCACGTCTTTGCATGTCCAATGAATCTCACTCATCTAACACCTCTCTCTCTATGTTGCGACCCCATTGAAACAGTATGTTTCATTGGCCCCCCGTTAGATGACTTCGATGACAACCAACTTGAACTTTACCATCCAAACGGGAATTAGTTAACTGTTATAACAACAACACCGTCAAGTTAGTAGCAATTTCTCTAAGTGATTGTGTGAACGCTCATCTCTTTCTTACTAAAAGAGCGGTGAGTTGTGCGGTGTGTATGAGGTGTTTTCCTCGCTAATTATACCCTGAACTGGAATATTAAGTTTGCCACGAAGTTTGTAACACCAAGAGAGAAACGTCGCAGACCTTATAAAATGTATATATAAATGATCAGCATGATGAGCTGAGTTGATTTAGCCATGTCCGTCTATGTATACGCGAACTAGTTCCTCAGTTTTGCACCTGTACTTTTCTCACTAAGAAGCTGCATACAAACTGAACGATTGGAATTAAGTGCTTGTATGGAAAACTCTTTCATTTGACGAGGTATCTTAACGAAATTAGGCATGAGTTATTGTTTAAGGCAACAATGTATTCTTCGCAGAAATTGTTGAGATCAGATCACTATATCATATAACTGCCATACAAAATGAACAATCGGAATCAAGTTCTTGTAAGAAATCTTTCGTATTTGTGAAGGGTATTATAGCTTCGGTGCCACCGAAGTTGACGTTTTTTCCTGTTTTTTCAAAATGTTGGAGTTTTGGTAGTTCTGATTTGCCGGGCTGTTTAATATTTCTTTTTATACCGCTACAACATGGCACTTAGTGAGTTAAAGTTTTATTTCTTAGATCTTAGAATGTATGTTTGGGAAATCAAACCTCTGTGTATTCTGTCATGTGAACAATATTCTCATGGAAATGCAACATACTTTCGGGAGCGTATGAAATTTCATAATATTCAGTATTTTATTATACATATAATTTTTATATTAATGTTGTACATGTGTATGTATTCAGGAAACAAATTATATTTTTTGGTGATACCTTACGGATTACATACATATGTATGCCCGTATGTGGGTAAATCGTACAAATATATGTTGAATGCGACTAGTATTCTTAACGATATGTTTTGAGTAAAAGAACATGCGTTAAAAAATTATTTGGAAAATGATATGCTAAACGTATCATATTAATTATAATATCGCTAACGGGTGCATCAAATATGCTTACTTAGATATTATAATTATTACTATTATTACATACTAAATATATTTTAAATATTTGTTTGTTCAAAGCTAAACTATTTACTCTCTGCTATATTGTTTTAATTTTTCATTAAAAAATGTTTCTTATTGATTAGGCCCTGTACTTATGTTAGTTTATTTAGTGGAATTTCTTCAGGGGGATGTACTTGATCTTTTGGATCCGGTTTCTTCGTGCGGCAACATTTGGTTTTGATTCCACCAACATCCTTACGGCAAATTATACCAATGATAATGCCAACAATTGCTATAATAATAATACCTGAAAAGGTTCGAATATAATAAATGTGTATTTAATAATTTAATTACTACTTACATATAAGCAGTATGTTAACCATATCCTGGGATATATGTCCTGTAAGGGCTTTATTTGTTTTATCCGAGGTTTTTATTTCGTTGTGCTCGACACTATTATTTGCTATATCATTTAAGCTAGTTGAAGCGTTGCCTGTCAGTATGGTCGACATTGTCTTAACTTTAATGTCATCTTCGATTCTACTCGCAGGCGTAGAATTTGTAAAATTTGAGTGGACACTGACACCTTCCATTTTATTTTCTAAGACTCAATACAATAAAATTTAATGCATTTTCACTTTTAGTACCCTTACCTTTTCTTTCAATCTCTTTTGGATTTGATGATTTTGTTTTCGCTGTTGGTATGATAGTAGTTACATTCGCAGATTTAATCTTAGTTCTAATTTCTTTCTTTGTTTCCTCTGTTTGCGCCGAATCACCAGTAATTGCTAATTGTGGTACTTCAATAGGTACTCGTGATATTTCCGTTTGAATAAATGGTGGATCCGTTATCACAATACTATCATTAAAGGAAGTGCCTAGTACTAATTCAAAGCAACTGATTTCAAAGTGCCCGAACTTTATATTGTCAATAGCTGTTAATAAATTACACAGCTCTGTCACACTCTCTTCTTCCAAATCAGGCAACCACAATCTAGTAACATTCTGCAGCGGTGAAAAAGCTTTAACATTGATTTTCTGTCAGAATGACAATGGAATAGAGAACGTCAATTAACATATGATAAGAGCTTTGAGGTGGGTAAGCTCAAATAGCGAACTTATTTTGTATTTATAACAAATGTAATATAAATGTAAATACATTTGTATATATTTATGTAAGTAATTTCTTTATATACTTGAAACATTACAATTCAAAGGGAAAATGCCTAATACATACAACATCACAGTATTTTACACACCTTATCAAAATTATTTAAATCCAATTTTAGAGACTGTAAACTGGCCAATCCTGAGAATGTACCATCATGCACTTCGGTCCAACTGCAATTACGACAAGAAAATTTAATTAAGCCTGGTCGTATGAGGAATGGGCCATCGTTTTTTAACAATATAGAATTGTTACTTAAATCCAGATCATATAGATTAATTGTGCCTGAGAAAGTTGTTGGCTCAATTGTTCTTAGTTTATTATCTGCTAGCCGAAGTCGTTGTAAATTAATTAAGCTATCAAATATCTGAAAAATAATATGTTATTACAGTAATCGCTAAAATTACAAATTGGTCAATAATTACCGATTTATTAATAAATTTTAGTTGGTTACAATTTAAATTGATTTCACGAACTTTAGAAATGTTTATGAAGTCTTCAATATATAGTTCTCCAATATTGTTTTGGCTTAAATCGATGAATAGTGTTGTAGTTGGAAGGTTTTTTGGCACGCTCGTCAAACCGAGACCATTGCACAGTATGCGCTTAAAGTTTTCCAAACACTGGCAGTCTTTGGGACATTTGGGCTTCAACACCTGATTGCTAGTTGTATAATTGTTTAATGAGATTGGTACCCTTTTTGTTGTTGGAATAATGAGAATAGTTCTAATAGTCGAAGTCATGCCTTCAGTATCAGTGGTTTTTACGGTTACGTTATTATCTCTTTGATCTGGATCATTCTCATCATAATAATCCACATAATACTCTGAGTCGTTGTTGTCATAAGATACGTTTGATGGAGCTGCTTTTGTAAAGCGCGCACTAATAATTCGTGACAAGAACAATAAATTTATATTATAAGTATTTTAATTTGAAATGTGTAAGTAAATATAAAAAACTGCATTTAATATATTTTTATCAGAGAATTACTGTTAATCAGTTTTAAGAAAATATTGTTCATGCGTACTTTATAAAAGTAAACAAGAATAAACGTTAGCTTCGTCCGCACCGAAGCTAAAAGTCCCTTCACAGGTGCATTTTTTATAACAACTATATGCGTATAGGTTTTCTCTCAGCGCGAAACTTTAAAAGCACAAAAAGATTTATCTTCATGCCAAATTTCGTGAAGATATCTAAAAAAAAAAAAGTTTTCCATACAAGCACTTGATTCCGATTGTTGAGTCTGTATGGCAGCTATATGCTATAGTGATCCGATCTATACAATTTCTTCAGAGATTGCATTATTGCCTTAAATAATAATACATGCCAAATTTCGTGAAGATACCTCGTCAAATGAAAGAGTTTTCCATACAAACACTTAATTCCGATCGTTCAGTTTGTATGGCAGCTATATGCTATAGTTGTCCAATATCGGCGGTTCCGGCAAAAGTGTGCAAAATTTCAAAACGATATCTCAAAAACTGCGGGTCTAGTTCGCTTATATACAGACAGACGGATATTTCTAAATCGTCTCAGCTCGTCACACTGATCATTTACAAGTATATATACATATATGGTCACCGATGTTTCCTTTTGGGTGTTACACACATCGCGGCAAACTTAATATAACTTGTTCAGGGTATAATAATAATTACAGACTTACTGCTTAGTACATGTTTGTCTGTGGTCCGTATTAATTATAAACAAATCAGTTTTTTTTGCACTATTATTGTTATTAAAACAAAAAAGTTGCATAAATTAAAAGGATCAAATATTAAGTATGTTAGATAATTACGCAAATATTTTTGCATTAAATATATATACACATACGAGTATAATTTTTGTTTTAACTTCACACAACGTTTTACTGTCCACAAAAAATTATTATTAATTGTACTTTTAACTTAACAAATTAAAACAATTGCCTTTCTGATAAGCCCAAACATCATAAACATCATAAACAAAAAAAATTAAATTAAATTTATAATTATGATAAATTCATTCAACGGGTGCGAAAAATATTTGAATACTACCTACATGTCAGCGTACCATCAAATTGGTAATTTTAGATATTGTAGGTTTAATCATATACTATGTGTAAGAGTACTTTGCACTTTAGAACCTGCCGACTTTGATCGATTCTGCTACATGCTCATAAAGTTATGCGGATTCGTTGCCTTATTGGCGTTTATAACTTAGGTAACGAGAAACTGAGTTTTTTTTATTATAACCTTGATATAGATTTGTAGCACATTGTAATATACTTTTTATTACAGCTAGATTATAACATTATCAGTTTTACCTTATGCTGAGTATGAATATCAGGAACAGTCCAAACTTGTAATAAATGTGCATTTTTCTTGAGTGTGGCAAGAATAGTTAACGCAGGATGATTCAGTATTTCCAATCACTTAAAACTTGTTTTTTTTTTATTTTATTTAATCGATTAGTAGATTAAGGATATGCAATTTTTATAACAATTAGTAGGTTTTTCTAAATTCATATTGTTACATTTGTTTCTTATACTTTGCGATCACTGATTCAAATGTAATTTAATTAAGTTGTAACAGTTTAATTTAGAAATTAGCATTGTTTTTATTTCTTTCGTTTATGACTAAAGTTACATAGCGTTTTAATCGTTTAGCGCTATTACACTCCTCGTGATTATTAAATTGGGTAACATAAACATTTGAACAAATGTCTACCCAGTTCCAACTCGCACTAAGAAAATGTTAGTCATATTATTGTAATTGATTATTCTGAAGCATTTTTCTAGATTTAAAGAGCGAAGAATTATAAAAAAAAGAGCTTATAATGATCACTGTTTACACAATACGATTCGAAATCTCTGCTCAAACTTTTTGTAGCTTTATTATAAATCTTTGAAATTCAAAATTTTTAAATCTGATTATAATATTTTATTAACTTTTGTCATATATATGAACTTAAGTAAACTTTTCAGTAAAAACCGGCAAATAGAGGAAAATTGTGAGATTATTTTTAAAATATAATAAAAAATATGCATGAAAAATGCTTTTATTCTTAGTCTTTTGCTGAGCTGAGCATGTATCATACACGTACGTACATACGTACACAGATGTACATTTGTACTCGAAGCAATCGTGCACTGTTTGTATGGGCTGCTTATATTATCACCATTACGCTGTCGATCACAAAATGTTAACCTTTGAACGATTCAAGTGATTCGATTAAGGCTCTGTTTTTTTTTTATTTAGATATATTCATATGCATGTACATACATATGTATATGCTCTGTTTAGTAGTTTGAAGTAGCACTTTTTAACGTATGTATGCATGCAGGTATGTACGTACACGCATTTCCATATTGTATTATATCAAATGCTGTCGGCTCACTTAAACTACACATTTCTTCTATAATATGTTTTTATTTTCTTTGTGTTTTCGGTGTAGTTTTTGCACTTTTGCACTACTAAATGTGTTAATTATGCCACAGTTAAGGTAACCCTACCGATTTTTGTTACCGAAATGAAATTGATCAGCGGATTACATCCATTAAGTGATGAATTCGACGATTTTCGAACGTCTGAATGTCATTTCAACTCAGCCATACATCTGTACGCATATATGTATGATGGTAGAAGTTAAAAATCATGCACGCTACTAGAAGTTACAACAAACAAATAACAACAGTTCCATTTAAGCGCAAAGTATTCACTGATTTTGCTATGCAAGCTTTTTAATGCTGAGCAAATTTGAGATGTTTTTCCGGTTCATAAACAAGGGAGAGAGACATAGAAGGAGAAGAGAGCAAGAGAGAGAGAGAGAGAATTAAATAAAATGTGAAGAAACCTTAATGCAAAGTTGTATTTCTCCATTAAAATCAACCTACATTACAAGCGTGTTCGTGCGTTTGCTGACTTATTAAAAACATAGCTTCTTCATAGCGTACAGGCTTGTAAATTCTGTTTTGAATATATACTCGTGTATGTACATATGTATATCATATTTTTACAATAATATATCTGAGTCGTTCCTTTTACAATAACACTGCCGCACGTATCTAGCACATATTTATTCGTTATGATGATTTTAAGACATCGAAAATTTGTGGATAACGGCTTACTTCCGTGTGTTTTCCGCCAAACCAATGTCCTATGCTCCCAAGTTTAGTGATTCTTTCCTTTTTCTTTTTTATATGTAAGTATAAGTAGAGTGTTGTTGTTGTACTGCAGGATGTTAAATTTAACTTTATATCCACTAGTTTTCAATACTTCACTAACTACAATATTTGAACAGCGTTGTATTTACCCTTCGTTATGCTTCTGACTAATTTCAGTACTGTAATGGCGGTGATTTAGCAGATTACCTCACTGTTAAGGGCACTTTGAGTGAAGACACTGTCAGGCTTTTTCTCATACAGTTGGGTAAGTTGAACAAAAATAAAAGATTTTAATAAGATCTGTAGTAATATACATATGTTCATATTATGTGTTGCATTGCAGCCGGTGCCATGAAAGCACTTTATACCAAAGGAATAGTGCACCGTGATCTTAAGCCTCAAAATATTTTGCTTTCGCACAATTATGGCAAAACTTTGCCCGCGCCATCGAAAATCACACTGAAAATAGGTATAGTATAGGTTATATTAAAGCATTTTTAGTTGCGTTAATTTATGATATATTACATTTTGTAATTGGGTACACAGCGGATTTCGGGTTTGCACGTTTTCTAAATGAAGGCGTTATGGCAGCAACACTTTGTGGGTCTCCAATGTATATGGTAATTAGCGAAATTTCATATCAAATTGTATAGATTATAAATCCTTTAAAATTTTTTAGGCACCTGAAGTTATCATGTCATTACAATATGATGCTAAAGCTGATCTCTGGTCTTTGGGTACAATTGTCTACCAATGTTTAACTGGCAAAGCTCCTTTTTTTGCACAAACCCCTAATGAGTTAAAGGGTTATTATGAAAAAAATGCCAACTTGGCACCAAAGTAAGTACACGAAACAAAATAAATAAAAATACTTCATATTTATTATTGTATCAAAAGAAACACTGCAGCTGCACATTTATTAAATATGTCTTATTTATATTCTACAGAATACCAAGCGGCGTCTCGCCTGATTTGCGAGACTTACTGTTATGTTTGTTGCGGCGCAATGCCAAGGATCGGATCTCCTTTGAGAGTTTTTTCAGTCATCGCTTCTTACAGGGGAAATCGCCTATATTTGGTACACCTAGTAAGTTGTATACATATATACAATTACTATATATACTAAACTTGTTTGTTATTGTTTAAGCTGATGTGCCTCCGCAGATGAGTTTGGATACTATACCAGTAAAACCGAAAAGTTCTCAGAAGCTGCTGTTTCCTGAGGCCAATGTTGATGCTGTTATAGCACAACCGGATGATACCACAGGTATGCGTTAAATAAATATAAAAATCAATAACATCGAATATACATATCATTATGTATGCATATGTTTTTTAATATTGATTCTACTCTTTAGTCTAAAAATGTTAACGAGAGCTTATTTTATAAAATATAATATATATTTTTAGTTTCACTTGCGGAGAATGCAGCTATCTGTGCTACCATTACCAATGTTGGTGTGCTTTGTGACAGCGAAAACAACAGCGATTCGTCTGGTTCGCCAGAGGATTCAGATGACTTTGTTCTGGTGCCTAAGAATCTACCAGAAGATCAAAATGTCATTGAATATGAGAAGAAGTACGAAATACGTACACATGGTAAATTAAATAGACCTAAACGTTACTCTTTCCTTCATACTAGGCACTCAGCATGCCAGGCTGCTCAAACAGCAAACCAATTAAATCCATTACGACCAAACAGTCTACCAATATCGGAACCAAAACCAGTTCCTGCTCCAGCTCGCCGGTTTTCGTCAAACACTATTGATACTGGATCTGGGAGCAATGCTTCGCCTGCGGGCCGTACGAATGCGATTAGTGATAAAGCTCAACGTCCACGTTCAAATATTTGTAACGAGATTGTCATTGCAACATCACCTAAACAACCCTGTGTGATCACACAATTTCCACGATCACAGCCTATAAGTGTTAAGCAACGCGCTGAACATCGTAAAAATAGTGTTAGCAGCGATATTAATTCCATTTCTCCACCAGCGGTTCAATTTGCTATTGGTACACCGCCCGCTCGACGCCGTTCGGCGTCGGGTAGTTCACTATCGGAGACACCACCACCAAGTGCTCCGTGTACTTGGCAGGTAAGTCCAGGTACCCAGACTCAATCCCCTCTACGACGATCAGGTCACAGTTCACCGATTCTTCCTTCTGTATTGGCTAAATTGCCGGCACTGGGTAGCCCAACGTTGATTGTAGGACCAGGTTCTGTCGGCTCGATTGGCTCCGGGTCTTGTGGTTCAGAGAATAATAACCAACATCCTGTACTGGGTCCGCGTGCATTTACACTACCCGAGCTCGGTGCCACAGGAGGTTTGCAAAGTCTTTTGGATACAGCCAGTAGTCGTGCTACCGGTACAGAGGGCAATCAACTTCATACTTTCCATGCACCTGAATTATCGGAGGAAACGCTTTTGGATCGCGAACATAACGAGACTTTATCAAAGTTGAACTTTGTTTTGGCTCTTACTGATTGTATCCAAGAAGTTGCAGACTCGCGTTGTGCACCTCTTTCAGCCGTCATGGCTGTAGGTGGAACATCAAACGATCAACAGTCTATACCGCCACATGCACCTGAACACTGCAAACGCGCTGAACGTTTGGTATTATTGGTGCGTGCTTTACAGCTCCTCTCAAGTGGCTTAAACTTAGCATCTCAACAGCTACGCAGTGGAAGCTTGAAACCATCATCAAATGTTAAAAATGGTGAGCACAGAAAAGTGTATTACATACTCTAACAAATATATATAACTGTTTGTGCATATTTGTAAGATATATATTTGCGTATAAAATATATTGTTTTTATAATATATTTTAGCACTTTTATACCAGCTTAGTATAAGTTAAAAAATGTATTTCTTTTTTTTTTTTAGCTTTGTTGACAATGAACTCTAAATATCGATCGATTCTCTTTGAGTCGAAGAGATTGAATGGTTCCGGTTTGCTTCAAAAAGCTAATGCGTTCAACATTACAGCCGATAAAATTCTTTATGATTATGCTTTAGATATGGTGAGTTTTGCATTGATTGTTATTATTTATAGTACTGTCATAATATATTATATTATCAAAACTTTGGTGGTTGCTAAACAAAAATAAATGTTTTCATGAAGTAACTAAATGTTATTTTTTATAGTGTCAGGCCGCTGCTTTGGACGAGTTGCTTAGTAATACAAAAAATTGTTTTGAACGCTACAACACGGCGCATATACTGCTACATTCTTTAGTTCAAAAATGCAATCATCCACAGGATAAAATGCTATTGAATAAATGTAAATCGTAGATAAAAGCTAAAATACAAATTATTACAATATTTTTTTATTTTATTCCAGATCGTGATGCTGTTGAGAAACGTTTAAATATTTTGCAGCAACAAGGCTATATATATGTGACTGATGAAAGCTCTTAAGATTCCGGGCATAGGATTTATAGTTCAGTCTGGAGCCTTCCGTTTTCCAAACAGCAATCATCTATTTTATTACTATTATTATTATTCGAGTATCTTAAAATATAATTTAAGTAAAATAATATTTTGCTAATAATTTAATTTTTTCGTTTGAGTATGCATCTATGTATGGATATTAATTATAGGTAACCTCACGTATGTGCTGACATACATATATACATATACAATATATTTCCTATGAAGAGAATGTTTTCAAATGATTACCAAGTTTCAGTTTTGCCTTTTTCCCCAAAGTGTATGAGGCTAGATAACTTAGGTTCATTAATATTTTGCATTTTACATATAAAATCGTGTTTGGTTAATATAATAATAATTCGGAATATATTTTTAGAATGGAAAAATTAACGAATATATCCCTGATATAATGATCATCAAAAGGTGGTTAAAATAATTAGAATTATAAATTATTGTAACTTGGAAATTAAGGTATATTCGAAAAACAGATTTGTCTTTTATATTTTGCTAAAAAAAATTAAAAATGCACACATTTTGTTATTTGAGTGTCCTGATATTTGGAGGTTTTTAAAGTAAACGCTTTTACGTACAGATGTATATGAGTGCACAATGTCTCAAGATTTCTCACTCCTCAGTCCTAATTACTTTTTGAAGATGAACAACCATATTCACAACCATAATTTATAAAGTGGTAGACAGATTTCTTGAGCCCACAGCCGGCTTTAAATAACCCTACACATAACTTCGTTGAAACAGTTAACTAACAAATAGCAAATTTATATTTAATATATAACATTTAAAATTCGGTATATGCACCAGTCAGAGGACAGTAAAAATTAAGTCTTAAGTTGGAGTAGCTATAAAAAAATAAGATACACGCATATATACACAAATGTCTCTGCATTTAATAGATATGCACATTATATGTTTATTTCATATATTTCTCATTATTTTTTCAGATAACTATTATCTCTTGATTTCAAAATTATTTATTAAACTCGCAAGTATTATAAATAACTAAAATATATGTGAATGATTTCAATATTTATATACTGAAAATTTATATTATTAAAAGGATGCATCTGCAGCATTTTATTCTAGTTGAACTTTGAAAAGTCTTTGTC